CCGTACCGATGGCCATCATAATAGCTCACATCGATAGGCTACATATTCACGTTCATACATAGATCACGCCAAAACCGTAAACATATTTAAACACACATTGCACAGGTAATTTTTAGAATAACAACCCACCTGGATTCCGGATTGATAATAACTCAAAGCAATGGAAGTAGGTCGAGGCTGGACTCCTCAATTACCTACATTGAGTAAAGATGCTACAATCAACATCTATCTTGACTTTAAACGGAAAACACAAAACAGACCTAGTCGAACTTGTTTCGACTAAGTAGTTCGTGAAGTTCTGTGGATGTTGGAACATTAAGACTCGGCACTAAACTCGACCAAACCACATAAGGGAGTTCACATAAATCCATCTAAGAATTGACCAAGTCAAACTCACATCAAAACGAAAAGCAAGTCGATTCCCAACTTTTCATTTCAAAATCATGTTTTGAAAATAGTAATCATTAATCACATGAAAATAGATGGTCAGGCTACCCTATGGCTTAAGCTCTGAAATTTTACACAAAATTACATCTCCCAGAAACATGTAAAACCACAAATTTTCAGCTTCAAACTCGAAATATACTATTTTATAAAATTCGAACAAGATATCAACAAAATGGGAACATCAGTTCATACTTGAACTTAATGAACGAATCAGGACTTGCAAACTTAACACAACAACATACAGCATGCTAAAGTCCATGTATAAAAATCTCAGCTCTTAACATTAACTGCTACTATTTTTAAAAATTCATACGAGATTCAACAGTTCATTGAATTTAAATCAAAACCGAAACAAAATAGATTCCAAAAATTCCCATCTTTTAACAGAATGATTCTACACATAAAATAGGCATCTCAGTAAAATTTTAGAATTTTTCGTCAAACAACCGATTTACAAAAAGTCAAACAATTTTCAGCTAATTCGATAAATAATCTATTAACCAAATCAAATCAAGTCCAAAAATTCTAAAACTTTAACAAAACATATAAACATCACAGAGGCATGACATACTCGAAGTTCACCTCATTTTGTTTATGAATGAATTTATTATGCAATTAACACTACCCTGATCAGATTTCATTATAATTATTAAAAATAGCTACAGGCTTCTAAAAATCACGAAATGTTTACACAAGGCTAGTATTGAACAGAGAACATCATCCTAAAAATTTCAAGTCATTACGAGCAGCGAGCTATTTTTAAAAATTCAAATACCAAAACAGCGACAATAAAGCTCGACAATTTTGACAATTAATCCGAAACACGAAAATTCTCGTCCGAGGCCTTTTCATAAGACCAAGGGCTCGACATTGTTCCAATATCCACCGACTTACACGACTTTCGGGGTCTCGTTCAATTCTTTCAAAAAATGAAGAGGTCCCAAATACATATACGTCACATAAAATCATAACGAAACACATAATCGCACATATTCATGTCTCGCAATTCATATATATATTAAATTGTTCAACGAGCACTTCACGACAATAAACACATAACGAAATAAATCATATACAAGTTAAACGAGACGGAATCGACGAGGTACCGTTCTCGGGAAAAACTCGGAAAACGAAACGAACACGAAGAGGCGAACATGAGGCTAATGCTCGACGGCACGCGTCGTCTCGCGAGGGAAGGGCTGCTCGTCGCTGAGGTGCTGCTGCTAGGTCACCGCCGGAGTTGCTGCTCGTCGACTGAACGGAGAGGTCGCCGGAAAGCCTGTGCGTGGAGGTTGAGCAATGACACGGCGCGGCAAAGATGGCTCGTCGGGAATCTGGGCTTGCTGCGCGGAGGAAAGGATCACAGCAGGTGGAGTTCTCGTCTTCGGGAGATGGTGGTCTGCTCGAGCTCGCCGGAAAACGTAAAAGCAGGGCCGCCGGAGGTGATTTCGCGAGTTGCTGCGCGATGATGGAGGTGATGACGTGTTGATGGCTCACGAATAGAATGGTGATGTCGAGATGACGGGGACTGAACGTGATGATGGAAGGAGGACGATGGTGATTCGCGTCTGGTTCGGCGAGGTGACGATGAGATGACGATGATGGGATCACGATGATGGTGAGGGTTCAGAAAATCGAGAAAGAGGAATCTTCTCTGACTCGCGCGATCGTGAAGATCAGAGCGAGAGATTTGAGATCGGGAATAAGAAAAATAAAAGGCTGCAGAATCTGTTTTGAGGAGAGAAATAGATACAATGCTATATATACATACATTGACTAGGTTAAAATAATTTGTTGACCCACAAGAATATGACACACGCACACACACGTGAAGGAAAAATAAAAGGGAGAGTAAAAATGGGTCATGAGCGGGTGTGCGGGTCCGAGTTCGGGTCGGGGCGCTGGTTATATGGGCCGAAAGCTCGGTTCAATACATACGGTTCTCTGGGGCTCAAATTCTCGGTTAGTTTAGCCAAAATAAAATGGCTCGGATCGCACGATAAAACAAAATAATATTCGACTATTATAATAAAATATATTTTACACCTTTATAATTAAATACATCTTAGCATTTAATAGACAATTAGACATTTAAATAAAATCTCAATTATTCCATAAACGAACGGGGCACTACAAACTTCTCAACAAATTTATGTGCTGAACACTCCTCTGTCGAGCACTAAGGTACCATAGAGATCAACGGTCCCATCAAACGATCAAAAGTTGAGTAGTACTCATCAATGGACAAGGTGTTCTGTTCAATCACGTGAATTTGTTGCATAAGAGTGTGCAGGAGAGCACCACTATCCTGAACATAGCGTTGTTGCAAATAGGACCACATTCCCTTGGTTGTCCGAAAAGAAGAAAGGCTCATAATCATAGATTGTTTGACACTGTTGACGATGGCAGCCATCACTTTCCCATCATTAATCTGCCATATTCTGATTTCACCAGCATATGAAATATGAATAAAGATGTTGCGACGGGCACAAAAACAGATGAGAGACGACAAAAACAGAATTTGACGATGGCCGGAACTAATTAGAGTACACGAACCCTAACCCCGACAATTAATGGATCTGAAAAAAGGGAAAACGACCTCCAAAACCTCCCAAAACAGAAAACGAAAAACACTGGCAGGAAGAGGACAAAAATTCCGGCAAGGCACGCGCTCTCACGCGCCGGCGCGTGGGACTGCCGGCAGAGACTCCCGGCGGCGTGTGTGGCTCACACGCGCGGCTTCTGACGGTGGAACTTGGCCGGAAAATATTTCGTGAGGCGGCGATTCGACTTATGTGGGAGGTGAGATCGAAAAAAAAAAAAAAAAAGATTTATGTGAAAGGTTGTGATACCATGTTACAAACCTTAGGGTTTATGAATGAATGAATATCCACAAGTGAGGATGCCCATATATATAGACTTAGGGCTTAAGTATATATGGGCTTGGCCTATATAATAGTTAACACTTTGCAACTACAACCTCCGCTCCAGCTGCCACTCGACCTGGGTGATCGAGCCTCTGGTGGCGGATGGGAACGCTGAGGTGCACCCCGGGACCAGAAGGTTAGGCATCAAGGTTCCCACGACCTGAGAACTGGTGAAAAAATGAGGTGGCTGCCTTACGCCCCACAGACGTGAATTGACCCACGCCTCCTCAAACGTAGGATCAAGATTCTTCTTAGTATCCTCGTTCGCCATGGACGATGGAACTTGATGGATTTTTGAATAAAGTTTCCACAGACGGCGCCAAAATGGTATGTAAAAGACCTCCTACCGGTTTGATTTGACCTGAATTGCCTTCCTCACAGTTAGATGACCTTCAATACCTACACAAACTCAACGTTGGGGGATTTTTCGGCGTAGAGCCTCCGACGTTCAGGTCAGAACGTGAAGAAAATGAACAGTATATATGAAAGCTCAGAGAGTGTAATGTTCTAGTGAGCAGCATCCCTCCTTTATATAGGGATATGTTACATTGTTGCCCAAGACTGCCAGGATGAGCTACCCAGACTGCTCGAACTGTCTGTCTGTATTACCCAATTCTGTTAGGCCAAGAATCTTTAATAACTTGTCTATTGATGATTTAATTTTTTAACAATCCCATAAAATAATAATCTTTACAATTATAGAAACAAAATTTTCATCAAATTCATCACTTTTTTTAAATTATAAAAAATATAATTATAACAACTTTTTCTAGATTACTAAAATTGAATTACAAAACTCTGTTTAACAATATATAATAACAATTATAATTATTTATCTTAAGTTGTGTGTGTATATATATATATATGTGTGTGTGATTTTAATCCATTTTTCTAATGCGTAAAATAATAATATAATTTATTATTAATGCACATTCTTCCTTATAACACCATTTATTATTATATTTAATTATGAAAATTTTATTACAAACACATTAATTAATACAAAAAATATCTCGACTCAGTAGTGACCCATATTGGTATTTCGTCATTGTATCAATCGCATAATCTACTATAATTAAAACTTATAAAAGAATATTATTTTTATTTCGTATAAATATGCATATAATAAGAAATAATATTATTTTGACTGTAATTTAGAATTTTAATATATTGTCGTTTGTTATAAGCATTTATAACATGAATCATAAATTATTATTATTTTATAGAATTAACCATATTAAAAAAAAAAGAAAAAAAAAAGACATGAAATTTCTTTGAGTCAACCTAAATTGAGTTATTGCCCAAGTTTATTAGGTGACTTTTATATTGTTTGTCAAATACTACAAAAACATGATACAACTTGGTTTGCATTTTGGATGACCATAACTTGATTATTGATACTAAATTTGAATTTCAGCATTGAGGATAAATTATGACAACAAATACAATGCAGTCAAATAATCAAATCAATAATGTTCTTATGAAAACAGGTTTAATAATATATGAATTTTTATCGTTTTATTAATATTTAATGTATTATATTTTTTAATAATGTAATAACATGTAACTCATATTATTTATATATATTTTCACAGATCATGTACTAGTTAGGATGTACAAAGATATGATAAATTAATAGGATGTACGAAGATATTTTTTATCNCTAACGTAATTAATCTTTAAACTTCAATTAAATCTCTAGATCACTTCAACTGAGCATAGTACTACTGAAGCCTGTAACATGGCGCATCAAATTACTCTTATTAACGTGCAAGGAAAAAAAAAAAGAAATAAATAAAATAAAATCTCTGTACACCCAATCAAGACACTGTAGAAACCGAAAAGAATCACAAGGATCTCACTCAACTCCAGCAATAATAAGTGGAACTCTAAGTTCACATCATGCAACACAGATTAGAACAGTTTACGAATTAAATACGAAGGTACCCTCGTTTTTCCCTAAATTCTGCACCAACCCCACTTCTCTTAATGTACGACTTTTGGTTGAGAGACCAACTTCTTCTGAAGACTCGCCTTCTTCGCCAGGCCATTATTCGGCTGTACAGAACCGGAAAAAGGAAACAGAGAAGAATAACCAATAGCATTGCCACACATATAAACATCACGTTACGAAACCCGTCACTTAATTCCGGCTTCCTTTGGTCAGTCCATGGAACACCTCCCACATTCATTCCAAAAACTGCCAATAATAGAAAGAATGTATTTTGTGTCAGATTTATATGATGTTATATTATTCTGAAAAGGGTTAGTTGTGATTGTGAAATATATCACAATTTGACCAAAATGACAGCTATTATGGGGTTTAGGGAAAAATTGCAGTAAAATCTGACCTCCGGTGATTATTGATAAAGGCAGAAATATGATTGAGAGGAAAGAGAGGTAGTATAGCTTTCGATTTATTTGTTCAGATTGCCAACTGTCTAACCCAGCCTGTATTGCCGTGATACGGTTAGCTATAAACCCGACATTCTCTTTTAGTCGCCTTATCCGCCCAATTAACTCTTCCAAGGCATTAACATCTTCATTAGTAAACCAATCTTTTAATGAACACTTTTCCTTAACTCGGGGAAATACCTGCTCACCATGTGCAATCACCTGCAATGTGGAAAAGAAACTTAGAAAAATAAGCTAGAACAGAATTACACCAGAATTTTTTTGCCGATTTTCTGGTGAAAATTCATTCAATTGATACTCAGACAGCTGTGCCAGACATAAGATTAAGGTACGAAAAGTAGAGATAACTACAAAGGCTACCTTTCGTGGTCGTAGTATTAGCAGAAAAACCAAAATAAAATTTCAAAGTTCAAACAAAAAAAAGGCAGGTTTTTATTTTGCCTTATATTGGGGGGTTACTACAATGTTTTCATGAATGCGCAAGGGTCTGCTGTAAATAATGTTAATTTAGAAGCTGTGGCAGGTCACTCTGTCAGGTTCTTGAGTCGGGCAAAGAGTAACATGCTTTAAGCTTTGGATAGAACTTTTCATGAAGAATCAACCAAGCTTTAATACTTACATTTGCCCCTAATAAGTAATAACAGCATTGTATGAGTTAAGCTCTAAAAATGCAAAGGACTAGTCATGAAATAAGGAAGTGTTACTAATAAAAGTGAACCAAACAGAGCACGTTATTTTTATCTAAACCTGTGTGGGAGAAATTCCACTCACAGAAATTTTAGGCTCACAATCGCATATCAGAAATCATTTACAAATAAACTTTGAAACTTACATGCTGTCCACTTTAGAAAAAATGATAATACAGCATGGACAAACATTTATAGAAGTTACGGAAGGTCTCGCAACATTAATTACCTGCAATAGACGCTGCAAGTCAAGATGCATTTTTGGGAACTTTCTATCGTCTAACAATTGCTTCTTCAAATCAAAACCACCTACAGACAGGCAAGTGATTATTCATATATAAATGTCAGTAATGAAGAACACAGATGCAAAAACGCAAAGGCAGTTCTCCTCACAAACCAGAAAAAATAATTCCTTAACATCTAAATGTCATATTATGAACTTCATTCACTTAGTGTATTCAATCATTTAGATAGCCTTTTTTCCCTCCTTTCTTTCTTTCCTTTTTAGGTTTTTTTCCTTTTTCATTTGTTACCTTTTTTCAATTATAAGCATCACACAATTACATTTCCAGATCTTCAGACATGAAACCATTATCCGACAACTACATATGCAACGCTACTTATTAACCCTCTCTCACCTAATTTGAATGAAAGTACATAGAAGTTCATCGGCGTTAAATGCTGACATAAACCTTCAACTTAGACTGACATAAACCTTCAACTTAGACTACCTCTTATAAACAAATATATTTTATTAGAAATATTTAAACGGAAATATCACTCTGCATCAAGAATCAAATGCCAAAGCCATACAGATATGAAAATACAAATCCATTAAAGTCCATAACACATAAGAAATAAAATTCATCTTCAAACACTGCCAATATCACCAACAAGCAAAAACAGCAGCAAAAGACAACACATAAACAAACACCTCACCAACTGCAAGCACAACCAAAGCAAATTACCTCTATCTAGCTCGAACTCGACAGAATCCAGCTCAATCTCGAGCTTCGTCACCAAATCCTGAACATGATCCACATGCGTATCAATCACGTGGACCACAAGATTCGGAACAGATCTCGGAACAGGATTATCAGCCTCCTCCGAATGATTCATCGTCAGCAGAAAATCCAAAACGTGCTCCCTAATTACAATTCCGCCCCTCTCCTTCCCTTCCCCACTCCTCTCACAACCGTGACTCTCCACAACAGGAACTTCCGACAGCAAAGACTCATTCGCAGGCGAAAAACCCAAACGCGGGACCCGCCCTAACGACACAGTGATAACCGAATTCTGTGTAATTCTTGCAGCTATTCTGAAGGTGAATTTGCTGGAAGGTGGGCCAGGGGAGTTTACCCTGAACACGAGTGCACCGTCCACATGGCCGCAAAAAGGGCCATTGCTAACTAGGGAGAGAATGTCTTGGAGCTTAAGGGGAGGGCATAGAACGTCTATTAGGTACTGTGCGGATTGTGAGAGCTTCTGATTCCCTTTTGGGAGCTCCACGTGGTACCAACAGAATTCCTTGCCCTGGCCTTCTAATAGGTCCCATTCCTTGTTGTAGTATTTTCCGGCCCCATCGAAAATGTAGGCCTTTTTCCGAACGGCTCCTGGATAGCGTTGAAAATGGCAATCCTTAGTGAAGCTTTTTGGCTCCTCCCGTAATTCTTGATCGTTGTACTCTAAATCGTTATCTATATGATTAAGCTCCATTTTTTTAACTAAAGTTTTCATTCATCAGCCAAAACGCCAAATCTACCAAAAGAAAAATAAAATCCCACCTCAATACCCTTTCTTATTGTATATACAAAATTCGAAAACTCACAGGAGCAGGAAAAGGAGAGGCCCAGTCACAGAAAATTTAGATGCTCCAATGAATCATGAATCAGCTATACATCTATGAATAACTAACCAGAGTCAATCTCTTCACAATAACTATCATTAACTACGAAAGAACAAAGCGAATAAAGAAAAATATGATCTGGAATATCAGCAACTGACAAATCGATACCTCAGCCTCCCTCAAAATTCAGTTGGCAAGGAGGCCGTGTTATTAAGGAAGAAGTCACCGGAAACGACCAATAAATAGAGAGAACGAAAAACCAACCTCGATAAATCCTACTCTTACTCAAATTCGAAAACAATAAAACGAGAAGAAACAAAAATTAACGAACGATGATGAGGGAATAAATTGGAGAGCAAACAGCGAACGCGAGAAAGAGTCGATGGTGGAGAAAACGAGGCGAGGTCAAACGAATCAAGTTTGTGCCGATTAGAATAGGAAACATCTGCAGCACGTAGAAGGTGGGTTCCATGAAGCTTCATCACCACCTGCGAAAAGATATATATTTAGATATTTATTAAAAGACTAGTTATAACACTAACCATGTGTTAATTAATAATATTAAATGATGTTTATAGATTAAAAGTTTTACAATATATTTTTTTATGTTTATGTATTACGTATCCCCGTGCGAGGCACGGGATAAAAATATTAATGGGTTGTTTTCATAGGTTCTGTCCGTTTAATAAAATGTAATAAGGTTATAATATCTTTTTCACTTTGTTTTAATCAACATTGTTTTTTTAGCCAGAACATTAAATATGAACATGTTGGACTAGCTTGTAAAATAATTAATATATTATCTCACAAACACATTTATACTAATATAAATTTGATTTTAGTATATATATTTATTCCTTGATATAAGAGAAAATAACAGTTTTACTTATTTTTGGTTCACTATATAATACTTAACTATTATTTAATTATAATCTTTGTTGTCATATAATGTTATTATTATTTATAAAAGTTATAGAGGTTGTACGTATTATTTTTCTTTTTATTTTATGTAATGAAAAATATTTAATGCACGTTAGTATTATTTATTTTATGTAAGCAAATTTAAAATTAAATAGTGTATAAATATTTTACAAAATATATACACATGTTTTTTTAAAATTTAATTTCTTATAATATTAAAACAACTTTGATTTAACATATTCCAAAAACACCATCCTTTCTGTAATCAAGATTTTTCTAATTTGCATTATAAGAATTTTCAGTTTATTTAGCATACTCTGCAATGGAAATATATTTTCACAATAATTTCATTATAGAAAAAAATTTAAAATAAAAAAATAATCATGATTGTCAATAATATACAAATGAATTCTTAAAAATAATTAATATATTTTAATTTTAATTTTTTACCATTAGTAAAACTACTTAATGTATCTAGTCACAAATAATTAATTTTTTATTAAAAAATGAAAGCGGCCAATCATAACAATTATATTAGCCATTTTCCTGTTAAAAAAAATCAACTTTTATTTAATCAGCCAATTATTTTTTATTAAAAAATAAAAACTGCTAAATATTTAAATTCTATTAGTTGAATTTATCTTTCTATAAGTTTTAGAAAAACAAAAACTTAACATGCAATAGCGCTATGATATGTTTAAAAATGTATCTCCTTTTTGTGAAAATAATAAAGGGACAACCCCGTGTTCTTTGAAAACAACAAACTAATATACTGGTATAGAGTTTTTAACAAATTAATGAAACAGTCCGTGTTTTTGGTCATCTAATGTAACAAATTTCACATGGTATGGACTGCATTTAATGTTGTGTTTAAAAAATATAATAATTTCCATTAATGGCAAGTCATTAATGATGAGTGACTTTGACCATAGATTTGACCTACCATTTTTAAAAAATGGTAATTTTTATTATATATATATACATATCATTTAAGGTTAATTATGATTATATTTTACATCAAATGATATATGAATGATACATAAACATAAAAAAGTATATTGTAAAACTATTTTAATTTGTTTATTCAAAAATAATATTATTTTTATCTCATTAAACGATTATTTTTTTAAGTAAACTAATTGATTTTAGGCATAGTCAAACCCCTTGAAACCGCATAAGCAATTATTATAATAGTAAATTTAATATTTTTTCAACTAATTAATTATTCATGATTTCTCAAATTTATATATAAAAAAAAAGTACATTGTTCATCGCATTTTATCTAATCAATATGGTGATTCATATGATAAAATTAGCCGACAAGCTAGCTGAAATAAAAATTTCAACGAGCTTATTTGAAAAACTACCCAAAGAAGCTTATCAAATAAGTTCGAGCTTTTTAAAAAGGCTCGTCGTACCAAACGGAGCTTATTTGAAAACGGGGAGCTTATAAGCTAACCAAATAAGCTATAAGATAGCTTATTTGTCTACCAAACATAGCCTAAATAGTTTTGTAATGTTTATTTTTACTAATGTTCAAATTTTTAGTTAATATCATTATATAACTTATAATTTTGATATTATATGCATACATATAACTTATAATGATTTATTTATATCTTTGTATGTGCATATAATCGAATATTAGTGTGTGGTGGACATGTAATATAATTTAATATATATTAATTTATTCGAAATGTTATATGAAAATTAGTGTTGTAAAAACACAATATGTCTGTCTACAATATTAAAAGGACCTAAAATGTATTTTGTAAAAATACTTTAAAAAAATTAAACTATTCTTATAAAATATCGCTAAAAATTCTTATATTTTTCTATACTTACAAACTAAAATTGTTTATATACACGTGAAATACAATTTTCAATACATTTATAAATCAAAAGTTATTTCAAAGACACACTTTTACACCACAATAAAACCTAAAGTTGAATCGTGCCTCTCTCTCCCTCTCTGCCCTAATTCCATTTTTCGCCGCCTCCCTTAAATCGTCGGTTAAATCGCCGCCTCTTCTCGGTGGGGAGCTCCGCTCGGCCGCGCCGAGGTCGCAGCAGGTCTGGACCCCCGGCCCTCGCTGTGATTGGATTCTTGCGGCCGATTTAGGGCCTTGCCGGCAGGGGCGGACGCATAAATTTGAAAGGGGAGGGGCACAGTTAGGGGTGTGTATCGATGACCGAACCGAATTAGGAAAACCGAAATAATTGAACCATACTATGCCAATAACCGAAATCGACCGAATTATCAATTTAAACAGAACATTAACCGAGCGAACTTCTTTGTCGATTTCGGTCGGTTTGGTCAAACCGACCGAATTATATATCTTAAAATATATATAATATAATTATTAATATATATATATATATATATTATATTGTAATCTATATAATATAATATAATATATATACAAATATATATATATATTATATATATATATATATTTTTCGATCGGTTCGGTTATTTTTATTTATTGCATATAGCCCACGGGCAGACGCCCTTTATGTACTATATTGTATTTTAATATTAATGTTCATTAATTAAATTAAATTCATTTTAGTGAAAATTCGTAATTATTAACATAAATAATCAAATAATTAAAAAAGAAAATATATAGAAAGTAATTAGTTAATAGATCCATTATAAGAGCTAGTTTAATCACCCTAACCCCTCAACTAAAACAATACAACTAATTACATACAACTATCATTTTTCTTTTTGAAAATAACTAAAATAAAAGATGTATAAAAATCAATCATCTAGTTATGAATTACCATTCCAATGACATTTCATAAAAGTTCATTTAAGAGCCTATTAGGTTTAATTTTTTATCAATCTTTATTGGACATGTGTTCATTCTTTCTCTCTCTTTTCTTTTAAATATATACTTCTAGATATATAAGCCCTCTTAATTCTACAGGGGCATGGGCCCCTGCAGGCCCCTATGTGGGTCCGCCCCTGCTTGCCGGGCTGTGTCGCTCCGGTGGGTCTTCGAGGGCGCTAGGTTTCCGACTCACGATGGCGGTGCTGGGCGGTATATTCGGATTTCAGCCGGTCGGATGTTGGAATAGAGGTGAGTTCCCTTCCTGGGGAGAGTTTTCATGGTGTTCCGGTGGCTGAGGAGTGGGCTGAGGCAATGGTGTTGGTCGATGGTTCTGGGGGTCGGTTGTCTTTGTGCTACTGGTCGGTGGGGTGGTGTGTGTCTGGGACTGACCTCCATTGAGTGGTTCGTGGGTGTCTACCTGGGGAGAGTTTTCAGGGCGGGAGTATCGGATCTTGTTAGGCGTTTTCTGCAGTTTCAGGTCTTGGTGCTTGGCTCGGTCGGCTTTCCCTTCAGGTGGGAACTCTCGATTGCGGTGGCGGGGTTGTCGTGGAGCTTTAGAGGGCTAATCTAGTTTAGGTGTTTTATTTTGGTTTAGGTCTGTTGATTGTAGGAGTGATATCGGTTTGGTTATCGAACCGATAAGGCCAAACCGATACCGAATCGATTATTTCGGAGCGGTCGAGCAGGAAAGCCACTCGTCCCCTTTCTCCCCTTTCTCGATTTCTGAGTCTGTGGGAGGCCGACAGTCCTCGGAGTAGGCTAGTGGTTTTAGGTTGCGTGGGTGGGTGTCGGATCGGCTAGTTGTTAGTCGGTGGGGTGGTGTTCGTGGCTTTTTGCGGCTGGAATGCAGGTCGTGTTCTCGGTTTGTTTTTAAGGCTTGGATCATCGTCTTCCTAGGCCTTATGCAGTGGTGGGCGTGGTATCGGAGCTTCGGAGCTCTCCTCGGAATCGGCTTATCTGCTGTCTTTTTCGGATGTACCTGCTGAGGGAGGTTGTGTTGTTAGTGTGTAGTTGTTTTTGGTTCTCGGGTTTTTGTTTATTTGTTCTTGTTTAGTCATTTGTGTTGGTGTTTGTGTTAGTTGTGTTTTAGGTTTGGGCCATTGGCCTCAGGCTGCCCGAGTGTGAACTTATTATCCTGTTGGGACCTCACACTCGAGCATTACCTTGTTGGGGCCGTTTTAGTTTTTGTGTCTTTGTGTTGCGTGGTTATTACCCTGGTGGCTGCGTGTTGTCAGCTGGTGGTTGTATTTTTGCACATTTGTGCCCTTATATAAAATCTTTATCGTTTCGAAAAAAAAAATATATATATATATATATATAAAATTTGAACACACGAATTTAGTTCGGTCGATTTTTGGTTGCTATAGTGCAATATGACAGTCACTAATTATAATGTGTAATCTACCTAACACTAATGTGCACTTCAAGTGCATCTATTTGTAATGATTCGTCCCAACCCAAACTAAAACGAGATAATCGGTTTATTTGATTGGTTAACTGAATTATCCTCACTAATCTATAATTTATATTATAAAATATATTTAATATTTTAGTTAATAAAATTTATATTATTTCTTGTTGTAAAAACCTAAAATATACATATATAACAAAATAATATTTTTGTATAGTTTAGTTGGTTGAGTTATTTTAAAAAATAACTTCGAATTCGAACCAAATTAACTAAAACTGTAAAAGTAACAACAAATAATCGAACAAAAATATAAAATTCAAACACACAAATTTAGTTTGGTTGATTTTTTTGTCATCATAGTGTAATTTGAAAGTCACTAGTGTGCAAACAATCTGACACTAATGTGCACTCAAAATGTAGTTACTTTTTAATGATTTTCCCTAAACTAAACTAACACCGAAATGATCGGTTTATTTGATCGGTTACCTGAGTTAACCTAAATAATCTATAACTTATATTATAAAAATATATTTAGTATTTTAATATTTTTATATAATATTTTATATTATTTGTGGTTGTAAAGACCTAATATATACATATACATTTATATAACAAAATAATATTTTTTTATATAGTTCGATCTGTTTGGTCATATTAAACAATAAATTTCCATCGAACTGAGATAACCAAAATTTTAAAATGCAAACACAAATAATCAAGCAAAAATATAAAATTTGAACCCAAAAATTTTGTTTGTCTGTATCGACTACTATGGTGCAATCCGATAGTCCACTCGGTCGAACTATTCGGTCCGGTCCAATCCGATTTTAAAAACAATGGATAAATTATGATTATTGTTATTTATATATTTAAATTATAATACAATCGTAGTACTTTTCACCGTGCATCGCACGGGTACGTGCACGTGCTAGTGTTCCATTAAGTGACCAACTTTATCCATTACTTTCTTTTACTCAATAATTAAATTGGAATATTCAAAAGACTAACTTTATCTACTGGTATAGTATGTCAATGTCATATGGTATATATATCATACCAACTATTAGAGTTCGTGTAACTCGGAGGCAGCTCGATTAGTTGGGCGCAACTGAGATCGGTTAGAGCTCCGGAAGTAGACTACCTTGGACAGCTCGAAACCTGGTTGAAGGATTGAGAACCTTGTTAGGTCAAATTAGTACTCTAGGATAGTATGACAGATGCTCGACTTGAGACTAGAGGGACAAGATGATGACCTTAAAGATAGAGTTGTGTGAACGCAAATAGATAAGGATAGTGTGAATACGATTGGATAAGAATAACACTTTTAGGCAACAAGATTGGATAGTTCAGGCACTCGGGTAGCAAGATCGGGCAGATATGGGGCAGCCCGAGCACTAGGGCAACAAGAGATCTTGAGCACCAAGGTAATGACTTATATATTTATATATGGGGGTGAGGTATAATTATCATTCTTCTTATTTTCTCTAAACATTCTACGCTATTATTGACTACACTTTCATTCATGAAAATTTACTTGAAGCGTCGAAGTTTCTACATTAAAACAACCATCGGTATTGTTTTGTAGGTCATTCTAGCGATTCAAGGACGGTTTAAGAGACGCTGAACTGAGGCAAGGTTTTTTACACACATATATGGAAATTGGCTTTCATTATTTTGCATGTCAAATAATTAAATGAGCCCATAAAGTTAGTCAATATTATTTTTGAGTTAAAACTTAAAAGTGAGATTTTAAAGTGGTCGTCAAGATTCTTTTTTAGACCTTAAGGGGACTTCTAATTCTAGATAAAATTATCACTGTATTAATGCGTATTATATTACGGTGATTAAGAAATGTAATATTTCTATTAATTCGACTTATTACAATTATATGATGATACATAAATTTTACTTGGTGATGTCACGGGAGTGACTCGGGTCTCAGGAAGTTTCACTAATATCATCCATGTGACACCCACTTCTTAAAATATATGATCATAGTTTTAGCATAGTACAAAATACATAATCAGGCAATGGTAATGCGATATCTTAAAACTATAATTGGGCCTCCGATTTCAAAAGGTTAATTGTAGCAATTAATTTATACTTCATATATTAAACTTGAATTAATAATTAACAATTTCCGATAGTCCATTTAATACATATGTAAAGCGGCATATTTAGTTTAGTATATTTATACTTTTACAATCTATAAATATTCTTCCAATGTAGGATAAGATTTATCAGAGCTTCTTAGTTGACATGCTTCACAATTTTATATTAATGTCGTCAAATTAGACTTTTAAATGGAAAATTTAAATTACAAATATATTGTAAAATATAATTTTTTTTTCTTTTTTAGTCATTATTTTATGACACATATACATCTAGTCAACCATCCTTTTACTATATTTAGTTTAAAAACCATATGACATATATAAAATAAATAAATTAGTTATATCTATCTTTAGAAATAAAATCGAATTATCAATCAATTATAATTAAAAATAGTAAAATTATTAATTGATAAACAAATAAATTTATCGGTAAAACCTATTATACAATATAAGTTTTGGAAATATTATTATGACATAGTACAAGTGAGTACTCTTAAGTGTGACAAATGTCACATTAAATAAAATAATAATACTTCCTTTTCAGATTTATTTAAAAAGTTAAAATAAGAATTTCTAGTGTTACTACTTACAAAAATAAATATAAATCATATAATTAACACTCATATATTACACAGAATAGTGTTGTAGTAGTATTATTTGTTATTAAACATAAAATGAAATATTACATAAAATTACTTCAACTTAGTTCGGCGGGCCCTAGACGTATACGGCATAACCCTCGCCTTGGAACGTTGTTAACAGTCTCTTAAAATTACATCTTGATTGGTTACTGTATTTTATTATGCATGTACAGATTTAATTGTTATTACTATCTGTAGTCTTCTTTTCCTTTTCAGGAATTATACGCACCTATTCAGTTCTTTGGATAATTACAAAAATATTATTATAACTTGATGTTTTCTGAACAGGCGGAACCAACTCTTTCTACAATTAACATCAATTTCCAAATATAATTCCCATATAGGAAATAGTAATTTTGGACTTCTCTTAAACCGAAAGTTTTTTAAGGGAATATTTCATATAGAAACACGGAAATTGTTACCAAAATTCCCACTATTTTCCGTAATTATTAAAACTGCTTTAATCTCTTCT